AAGTTCCCTTAGGTGTCTGGATGCCTAAAATGCTCAGAGGCAGAAACACAGACACTATCTCCCACTTAATCCCCAGAGTGATTCACAAATAGGGGGAAGGTAGGCATTCAGATGCCTAACTTGCAGGCAGGGCCTGATCTGGCAAGTGTGCTCAGAGGCCACCTACCAGAGGGAGAGAAAGAGGGTATGACTCCATATTCCAGTGATCAGAGCACCCATCCTCACCCCCAGCAGTTTTGACTTTGATTCTGAATTTATGAAATGATGAGCCAATGACATTCTTTGGCTCAGTGTTGTACTCAGGATATGCTACCCTCCCTCTGTAAGGCTATAGTTCAGTATGCTGTGTTCAGTTTTAAATTACCACTTTATGCTTCTTGTGTAGAGTATTATTTGTCTATTTGAATTTCATTTTCTGAGGAATTTTAAATATAGACATATATAACCACACAAGTGTATGAAGTTTGCATTAAAAATTTTATTGCAATTTTTTCGGGGGGGGGGGGAGGAGAGGTTTCACATTTTTTCCATTGTAGGAGTCTGTCAACCTAAAATGGTTAAACAAGTTCATTTTGCTGAAGTGATTTATTTCTCCTACATTCAACTACGTATTACAAAATGGATAACATAAGAATCATGGCCTTAAAAACTTAATAAAATGCACTAAAATGTAAAGAGGAAAATTCTAAAATACCAAGTAAGATCAAGAGCAGTGATATCACTCGGCACAGAAATCTACATTTGAATATTTATGCCAGTACCTTCATATTCTGCAGAAAGAAAAGCAGAGCCAGAGTTTGGGTGTACAGCACGCTCTGAATGTACACATGCTCTCTCAAAACAAACGTTTTCCTTTCTAATTTTTGAGGATAGAAAAGAAAAAGGAATAATTCAGCTCTCAGATAAAGTAATATCAAAATGTTCATGTCTCTGATAGCCACTATGACTTCAGTGTTATACCATTTATGCTGAAAATAAAACCAAAGCCATTGTCCTATTCAGTAATATTGTCAATTTGTTTTATATCAGATGTACCCTTTTGGATACATAATAAAGGAATATGAAAATACATTTTTACATATACTGGAGATGTACACCTGACAGTTCATATTATACAGATGTTTAAACAAGACAAAATTTTATCTCAACACTGACAATTGCATTTAAAAATGGACCTATCTTCAAATTAAGGTTGTTTGATTTCTAAAGGGTCCATTCATCCTTCCAGGTACACATAAATTTCACTCATAAATAATGAGGTGCGCCCATATGCATGGAGGGAAGAAAAGATTAACAGTTTATCAAAAGATTTTGAACTTACCTCCATGGTCTTATACATGCAGTTAGCATATGTGAATATACTTATGCGGTTTTAACATTAAGTACTTTAATTGGTTAAAAGTCATAAGATATTAAATGATTTAATGATGGAGTCTGAGAGCTAGATTTTCAAAAGATTCATCTAATTGTTGTTAAAAATAATGTACAATACAAATTAGATTTTATTAGAACCCTATGTATTAACCTTCTTGTTAATCAGCTTGCATGATAAATTCAACTATAAAAATTACTTACTAAAAGAAATACCAGGGAAATGATACAAGAAGTAGGTTGTATGGGTTTCTTGCATTTGGGGAACTTTTATTTATTTTCATTTTATCTTCTTTGAACTTTTAAAAAATAAGTGTTTTATGTAGTTTTGCATGAAATTGGTTATCATGAAAATGAGGGACCTGAGTGCTGGCTTTGAGCCAGACCTAGTGTGGTTACACACTGTACAAGCTTTACCACACAGCTCTGTCAAGACAACTCATGTCTGTCCTGCTGTTCAAAAGGGTATACAACAATCTTTTGGATCGGTCCCTTTTGAAACTTCTTTTAGCACACTACATCACTATTTATGATGTAGTCCATAATTGATAATATACATAGAAACTGTAATTTTCAATGGTTTTCCATTTTTACAACTGTCTAGTAGTACAATATTTTTATATTGTAGAAATAAGAATGAAATTTAAGTTTAGCAATTGTCATCAAGCAATGTCATATATAACTACTGAAAGCATTACTTCCCACAGCAATATTGAAAAATAGATTTAAATTTTTTTATAAATATACAGGAGTTGAAATTGCATAAGCTATTTAAATAAGATATCTTTCATATTTTACAGATCTTTGGCTGAATACAAAGTTAAATAAATTTCCACATTCTTTCTTTATATAACTGGTTTATAATGTCAAAATATTGGACAGGGACTATTCTGGAGTTTACCATAAATCTGTGCATCAGAAGGGATAAGATGAATGTAGAGCATTAAGCCAAAGCATGTGGATGTGCAATGTTTAGTGGCTGGGATTTACCTTAAAGGATATTTCAATTCAAGTTTTAAAACACAGACGTGAGGAGGTCTGGTCAAAGTTTCAGAAAAATGCAGCACAATTTGAATGTAGTTTGCACTATATTGTACCAGAAAGCATCAGCCTTTACCAATGGTTACTTACACCGGAATTATTCAAATTCATGATAAATGCACTACTGAAGAGCCTCAGCACAATTCATGTTCATGATGCTCACACTTCTGGTACTCACAGTCACTGCCAGTGCACAGGCTTGGGATATGGGACATGAGCATCTGAAATTCTACAATGTGTCAAAAAGAAAAAAGAAAAGGAGTACTAGTGGCACCTTAGAAACTAACCAATTTGTTTGAGCATAAGCTTTCGTGAGCTACAGTGGTTAGTCTCTAAGGTGCCACTAGTACTCCTTTTTTTTTTTGCGAATACAGACTAACACGGCTGCTACTCTGAAACCTGTCAAAAAGAAAAGACTCTCTTTCCCCAGATCCTTCCTGGGGATAATAGAACTACTAATGGAGAAGAGAAATGCTCTTTGGTATCAAAAGGTTTGAGGCTTTCCTCTGAAAAGCAATGAAACAAAACCAAGCATACAGAATAAAATCTACTTAACAGCAAAGTGTTTGGACTCTGCTGCAGACTAGAAATTCTGCAGTACCTTCATTTAAATTAAAAATGGAGATGATGTTAAAATAAATATTATGATTATCATGATCAGTAGATTATCCCCTGCTAATTATTTTGATATTAAAATGTACATTGTCTCTACACTATCGTTTTGCAGTATGCTAGAGATTTTTGTATCCATAATATATAAGCTGCGTCTTAGAAACTGAAAGGCAGAAGATGGAGATTTGGCATCTGGGTATGGAATAGTTGGGGCTTTTGGCATCATGTAGTTCAGGATTGTGTATAAGAAAATTAGCTAGATATTTCAATGACATGGAGGAAATGCTGACACTGAAATGGTAATAGGCTTCAGTCACTGAGATACATGGGGCAGTTCACATTGCTTAGAATTATTGTTTCAGGTCATCTGCAGAGTCAGGAAGACAATAGTACTTTGGTTTACACTCAGTTCACATCTACAGTGTTCTCTTCGTAATCATAAGAAGTAGGAACAATTTTTTTAAATAAAAGTTTAGATTATGGACCCTAACTGGGGACAAAGACATGGAATTGTTATATTCACATTACCTTGCTTGTACTGCTACTGAACGCTGAAAAGGGACATTTTTCATCCCATGTGATGGTAGTTCTCATTAGTTCATTTTAATCTTCCACCAACCCTATCACTGTGATTGAGTAGGGGGTAAAGGAAAAGGGTTCCAGTTAATTTGTCTTCCCCAATTGGAAAAAGAGAGGATCTGGCAATGCCAATGACACCTAGTGTTAGCTCTTAATGCATCAATGGTGATAATCCCACTTCACCTGGTACATGTAAGTGGAGAGTGCTGCTTTGATTAATGTCTCACTGCCTGGGAGTTTTAAAAGAAGCCAGTAAAAAATTCAAAAATGTGCCTAGCGATTTAGGAGGCTATGTCCCATTGCACTTTTGAAAATTTTACACTTGGAGATTAGGTTGCTATCAGGCTGGGAAAATAGGAAGATTCCTTCAGTCCAGGTGACAACACTAGCATGACTGCAGAATAGATTTTTCCTTTTATCTTCAAGAGCAGTGTTTGTTAAGTTGAAAATTTATATCCCTAATACTGAGGAAAGGCCTAAATTAATTTCTATGATTTATTAAAAGTTATTCATGAGGAAATATTTTCTCTTTTGTACTGCCAAAGCCAGCCAAGATTAAAGTACTGGTTGGGTGATAAACTGTCAAAGTACTGGTTTCAGAGTAACAGCCGTGTTAGTCTGTATTCGCAAAAAGAAAAGGAGTACTTGTGGCACCTTAGAGACTAACCAATTTATTTGAGCATGAGCTTTCGTGAGCTACAGCTCACTTCATCGAGTACTTGTGGCACCTTAGAGACTAACCAATTTATTTGAGCATGAGCTTTCGTGAGCTACAGCTCACTTCAGTGAAGTGAGCTGTAGCTCACGAAAGCTCATGCTCAAATAAATTGGTTAGTCTCTAAGGTGCCACAAGTACTCCTTTTCTTTTTGTCAAAGTACTGTTTAAGTTTATCAGCAGCTTTAATGTATGCATCAAAATGTGCAGAAATCCTAAAAATGTTAGGGAAGGTTATTCCATCATAATTTGCTAGTTTACAAGAGTGTCTCCCCTAGTCTAATTTTACTTGTCTCTTTTTTACATATAACCTTCCCATCATATAGCTGGTATGTTTTGTAAAACCCTGTTAAATCATCAGAGGGAAAATATTGATAGTGGGTAAAAAAAAAAAGTGCCTAAGTGAAAGTCAATGATTTAGGCTCCTAAACCATTCAGGTGATTTTAAAATGTCCCCAGTGGGATTAAAGTGAGTCAGGTTGCACCATGTATTCATTTAAAATTAAATATAAATCCAAGTTAAATGGAGCATATCTAATCAGAATACAATTGTAAATAGGTAAGTAAGCTATACTTTTTTTTCTATACACAAATGCAAACATATGAGACAGGAGTATATCAGATGAAAACATAAGGTGATCTACAACGATACCCAGGATACTAAATAGGGCCACTTATGAACTACAGTTACACTACTTTATTCTGAGTAATTGAGATTTTGATTACAATTATTTTAGCACCATGAACAACAGGAAACATTCAATCCTTATGTTTCTAATGAATCAGATTTAGAAAGCATGGAATTAATGCTAGCAATATGAATGTTAACTGGTGTCAAAATAATACACAAAATACAGTGTTTACAAATACAGTCAACCACTTGTCAGTGTCTTCAATATTAGCACGCACAGTAATATAAAATATAGCCAGTCTAAGATTACTATACACAATTCTGAAATTCTTAAAAATGTTTGACACCTTTCATATATAAGAATAAAAGGCATATTGAAAATGTCAGCCAAGTTTACACTAATAAAAACATTATGTGGAATTATAAAGGTGCTATACTTATGTCATTATTAAAAAATAAGGACCTAAATTAAATTTCCTCAACTACTGGGTGTTCAGACAAAAATTTGCTTTTGAAAATGGTTCTTCTACGCTCCATTGCATACATCCTGTGTTTGATTCTGGAACCAAAGCCATAAATCTATTACAGTTAGATTCTTATACCATGCCTATCATTGTAGTATCTGAGTGCCTAATGAGCAAACCGATTTCTGTAAGCCAAAGCTACAACATTCAAGTACTGAGTGCATTGGCCGTCTGATATCCAGAATCTCTGTTGGGAATTTCAAAATCTGTATGCCCAGATCATGTGCAACAGTGAATACATGTGAAAGGGAGAAGATTGCTATTGTTTATCTTGCCAGAGATTGGATAAGCTTTCAAAAGAAATTGATTCCATGGCTATCTAAGTAGCTTTTCCCATTTTTTAACTTTCTTTTTAAAATGTGAACACCAGAATTGGATACAGTATTCCCACAATGATCAATCTAATGCTATCCACATAACTAATGCCACCTCCCTATTTTTACTCAATATTCCCATTTATACATTCCAAGACGATTTTAGCTCTTAGTCACCACATTTCACATTCAGTTCATCATAACTCTCAAGTCCTTTCTTTCCAAACGGCTGTAAACTCATCCTGTAATTGTGACACACGTTCTTTGTTCCTAGATGTATGACCTTGCGTTTGCTTGTATTAAAATACGTTTTTCAAATGGGCCCACTTTGCAGAGTGATCTGGATCACTCTTTACCATTATTTACCATTACCCCACTTTTGTGTCATCTGCAAAACTTTTGCAGCAATAGTATTATATTTTCTTCCAGATAATTTATAAAGATATTGAATAACATTGGACCAAGTACAGATCCCTGCAGGATCCCATGGCTCCATCTTCTGTTCAATTCTTGACCATTTCAAATAGAATTTGTGCTAGATGGTTATTCTTAGCTTTTTGCAAACAAGTTTTTGAAATTGTCAGCACTGTGATAAATATTAATTTTTCATTTCAAAAGTCAACTGAAATAAATACAGTGGTTTACACATAGGTTTCTATGCATTATCAGGGTGTATTGTAATGATAATACGCAATATTGAACAACATTACCTGGAAGGAAACATAAGAACAAGAATAACGTGATTGCTAATGTAATTTCTGTAATTAAAGAATCGTGGGAATTTGAACTAGCAACACTACTTACAATGAAAGGAGATTTTCAGAAGTACGTGAGAGATTTAGGAGCCCAAGTCCCATTAAGAGTCTTAAATTTCTTAGGCATTTCTGAAAATCTTTCCCAAGGGGTGGCCAATCTGAGCCAGAATTTACCAATGTACATTGCCAAAGAGCCACAGTAATACGTCAGCAGCCCCCATCAGCTCCCCTGCCCCGCTCCCAGTGCCTCCCACCCACTGGCAGCCCCGAGGATCAACGCCTTCCCCTCTTTCCCCGAGCACCTCCTGATCAGCTGTTCCGTGGCATGCAGGAGGTTGGGGGGTAGGGAGGCAGGAGCAAGGGCACAGCAGGCTCAGGGGAGGGGACAGGAAGGGGTGGATTGGGGGAAGGGCCTGTGGCAGAGCCAGGGGTTTAGCAGCGAGCACCCCCCGCCCCGGCATATTGGAAAGTTGGCGCCTATAGCTCCAACCCCAGAGTCGGTGTCTATACAAGGAGCTGCATATTAACTTCTGAAGAGCTGAATGTGGTTCCGGAGCCACAAGTTGGCTACCCCTGCCAAGGGGTATAAATATCACTTTACCATTTCCCATTTTAATGCCAGATTCTGACAGCCTTGCTCATGTTGAGTAGAAACTGAAATGAATCAATAATATTATGCAATTGTGAATAAGGGTTATAAAATCTGGCTCTTAATAGTTAGGATACTTATGTAATTACTTTCAATGGAATTTTTTTGTAATATTTTCAACAGATAACACTTAACAGCTTCTTTGCTAAGTCACACCTAACACAGGAAAACTAAAATAGATGGCGATGAGTGTGCCTGGGTAATGAATATCTATTTCAGTGTTACACTGCATTGTCAATGCAAATCCAAACAGAGGCAATATATTTGCAAGTGTAATCATGATAAACTGAAAAGCACTCTGTTTTGTTTAGATTTTTTTAAAAGTAACTTTCAGAAGAATAGGTTTTTCAGAAGTATGGGTTTGATAAACTATATATAATACCAAGGAGAACACAAGTAATAAGAGATATGTTAAGGATAAGTAATTGTGCATGCAAAAATTCTCTACTATTTCTTGAAAAGATGGAGTTGTATCACATGTGCAAAATTTTAAAGGCCTATAATAAAGCTGCATATTCACTTAGTGCAAAATCACTTCCCAATGTGTTTAATGTTGCTTTAATAGCTCTTATGTATAGAGAGCTATTTCCATTTATTGGTATGAACAATTGCTTCTTATTGCACACTTAAAATGTATCCCTTAAAGATGTCTTTTTGTTGTTTTTTGAAGAGTCAAATCCTGAAAAAAAACACAGAAATTCAGAATTTGGCTTTGTCTAACTCATGGTATTGTACCCAAGTATTGCACTTCGTATGGTTTTAAGACTAAGAGCTATTCTGAAGTTTACCTGAAAAAGAACTAGATTCACTGGAGCACTGGGGCACAAAGGATGATGTAATAATGGTTTAACAGCCTTAATTCTGAATTTATTTGCCTGTGTGAGTTCATACCCTTCACTTTTTGAGTGTTTAATATATGTATTATCACAAACTTATCCTAAAATGTTCTATATTCAGGCTACCGAGAAATAAACGTAGAAGTGGTCCAGAGTAGGTTTAAGCAAATGGACCAGGTTGGAGTATTAAGAGAAAGTAAAGCTGAGGATCTGTTAAATAATTTAGCTCCCAAAGCAAAATAATTTCAGCAAGGATTAGAGTTTAGAGGATCAAAAAAAGATCACTATTCATTATCATAATAAAGAGTTTTAAAAATTGTTAAAATGGCATAAGAAATTAAAACAAAAGTCAGTCATAAGAGGTACTAGAAATTCCAGGAAAACAACACAAGAATTTGCCTCTACTTGATGGACTAAAATTATTGAAGCCATCCTGGAAGGGTCAATGAACCAAACTAAACAGATTTCACACTTCCAGAAGCATGCTGTGATAGATTAGAACAATAATCTCCCTAAACACAGAATCACGAGCAGGTGCACACTGATACTATAAAACCTCAAATGCCATAAAAATATGGATTGAAACTAGACTCAGGGACTCCTAAGAAAGCTACTCAGTGGTACAAAAGATTCTTAGCTCTTAGCAGTTTTCTTCTGCAATCTGAACACACGTTCCATTAAAAATAATATAATATTTTCAACTCAAAGCCAGAATTATTATCTAGCTCCTGTAAAAATGAATTCAGTCCAGTGGAAAGATAAAACATCAAACAACAGATTCAGATTCTTTACTGGGCTTTTCTGATGTGCCTGAGACTGAAGTGCTTTCATTTTCCAGCATTTTCTTAGTTGTTTCTTCATCAACAGCTTTTTCTCTCTCTTTTGGCTTCTTCTTTTCGTGAACCCATGGGATGAAAGATAATATAATTCCTCCAATAATGGGGGGAACTCCAGCCAGGTAAAATGCTACATCATAGGTACCTAGGTAGTCACGCAGTATACCTGGGGAAATAGAGAATTATCACTAATATGTAATGTAGCAGCTGTGGTTTTATTCAAAGCATGCTTATTCATAGATTCAGAGAGTTTAAGGCTAGAAGGAACTATTTATGATCATCTAGTCTGGCCTCCAGCGTAACACAGGTTGTATACAATTTCACCTAATGATTTATTTATCTAGTCCAATAATGGGTGGCTGAACTAGGGCATATCTTTTAGAACAAGATCCAGTCTTGATTTAAAGACTCCAAGTGATGAAGAATTTACCCTTGAAAATCTGTTCTAATGAATGAAAATCTTACCCTCACTGTTAAAAACCTTATTTCCATTTTGAACTTGTGATTGAAACTTCTAGCTACTGAATCTTGTTATGTCTTTGATAAATTAAATAGGATATCGTCTCCCTCTGCAGGTAATAATAGTCTTTGATCAAGCTGGCTCTCAAACATTACATTACATATGCTAAAGAGATTGCATTCCTTCATAGTTTCTCTTTGTAAAATGTGCTTTCCAGATGACAAATCATGCTTGTGGCTCTTTTGTGAATCCTCTCCAACTATTCAACATCCTATTAAAGGGTTGACACCAGACCTGGATACATTATTTCAGCAGTGGTATAACCAATGCCACATAAATTTGGGCATGGCTACACTTGCAGATGTAGAGCGCTGGGAGTTAAACCAACCTTCGGAGATCACAGCAGGGAAAACGCTGCCGTGTTTTTACACTGTCAGCTGCAAGCACACTAGCGTGGCCACATTAGCAGCTCTTGCAATGCCACAAAGAGCAGTGCATTGTGGTAGCTATCCCAGTGTGCAAGTGGCTGCACTGTGCTTTTCAAATCGGGGTGGGGGGTGGAGTGTGACAGGGAGTGTGTTTTGGGGGGCTGAGAGTGTGTCAGCATGCTGTCTTGTAAGTTCAGACAGCAGCAGACCCCCCTGCCGCTCACACACACTCACAACAGCAGCATTCCATTGTAATGGCTTGCTTTGTCCCGGAGCAGATAAGCATACCAGCTGTCAGAAACGGAGCTTTGAAAGGGTAGCCGATTTCAAAACAATGAGAAGAGTGGCCACTTGACTTCAAGGGATTATGGGACATTTGCAGAGGCCAATCACAGCGCAGTAATGCAACACCTCATTCACACTGACGCCTGGGCATTTCAGCCAGGGCGCAGCAAGCTTTATGCTTCTGTGGAGGTGGATTACTAGGAGCGCTCCAACGGCAGAGTCCAGGCACTCTACGTGCCTTGCCAGTGTGGGCACACTGGGATTTAGGGCGCCTGGGGCTGCTTTAATGCGCTCTAACTTGCAAGTGTAGCCAGGCCAAAGAGTTAATATCCCCTTCCTACTGCCGCTCAGTATTTCCATACTGTTACATCCAAAGATCAGGTTAGCAGAGCACCACATTTGGAGCTCACAATCAGCTGGTTATCAGCAATGGCCCTGTGATCCTTGTCATGGTCAATGCTTTCTAAGGTGTACTCCTTCAATTATGTAAATATTGCCTAAATTTTTTGTTCCTAGGTGTATTGCTTGCATTTGGCTATATTAATATGCATTTGGTTGCACGCAATTTACCAAGCAATCTAGATCAGTCTGTACCACTGCCTTTATCATTATTTGGCAGCTCACCAATCTGTATCATCTGCAAACTATCAACAGTGATTTTATATTTTCTTCCAGATATAAAAATTGTAAACAACCTTTGGCTGAGAACCAATTGCTGTGGGAGCCCACTAGAAATTCTCCAAATTCTGGCTTAAGCGACTTGTCCAACATCCTATCGGATATCTGTGACAAAGCACAGGACAAGATTCTAGGTCTCCTGCAGCTCAGTGCCTTAAGTCACAGGATAACCTTTTTCTTCTGGGCTATCTGTTTGCTCTTAGGCTAAACCTGGGAACTTAGACATGCAAACCATGTGCCCTCTGAGCGACAAACCCTTTCCCAAAGATTGAGTGTCATGTTCATGTTGTGTATCATGGGAAAAACACTGAAGTTTGTTGTCCTGCTTTACTCACTTAATGGGCTATAATTTAGAAATAGAAAGATTAAAATAAGTTGACTTCTCTCTAGGGAGAAAACCTTCACCCTAAAAGTCATAATCTTTAACTTTCACAAAGAAACAAATAAATGATGAACTTGTAAAAGTGAATATTAAAAAGTATAATGAACGTTTTGTTTATTAGTACATTTTACTGCACAAAAGCTAACAGTTTAATCTTGAAAAATATGTCCAAGTGTAAAATCATATTTGGCTTCTTTTGGCCTTAGAATGAGGTATCTTGCGTTACAATTGATGTCATTTCTGTCATAAATGTAAACTAAAATTATTAACCCACGCAAAGATTTAAAAAACATATGTAGTAATACAATGACGTTAGCGGGCCACATAAGGCCTGGTCTACACTGGGCGGGGGATGGGGGGGGGAATAGACGAGCTAAGTCGGTCTAAGTTATGCAACTTCGGCTACGAAAATAGCATAGCTGAAGTCGACATACTTAGAGCTACTTACCACGGTGTCTTCACTGTGGTAGGTCGACTGCTGATGCTCCCCTGTCGACTCTGCCTGTGCTTCTCACTCTGGTGGAGTACCGGAGTCGACAGGAAAGCGCTCAGCAGTCAATTTATCGCGTCTTCACTAAACGCGATAAATCGACCCCCGCTGGATCAATCGCTCTGGAGGTAAGTATAGACGTGCCAAAAGTATCAATGATAGTTGATTAAAGTAATTTGAGCAAGTTTTTAATTTAGTCTAGTTTAAATTTTTGTTTAATTATTATCCTACTATAGTTCTCAATTAAATTACATCCTACTAGTCTTCCCTTTTTAATTATTATTAAATATTTATATTATGGTAGCATACAAAGGCCCCAATCAGACTGAGTGCAAGCAAAATGCATGAATGCTAAAGACGGTATAAAAAGGAGCAATAACATTTTATTTTTCTGGGGAACTTGTGTTCCTTTCAGACCTATCCAGCCTAAACAACATTACCCTTATTATACCACACACAAACTTTAAAACCCTATCTGCAAGGATGTGCATTATGGCAACCATTCTACTATCCAGGAACTGGACTCTTTGGGTGTGTCTACACTGCAGTAAAACACCCACAGCCGGCCCATGTCAGTTGACATGGGCCTGTTTTGAGTATTTTATTGCAGTGTAGATATACCCTTTGGAGCCAATTCTTTTGTTTTTAAGAAGCAATTAAGTGAACTGCAGCCTCTCTCCTCACATATGCATGTGGAAATTTCGGAACCCAGTGAAAATTGCTTATAGTTTCTAAAAGTATGTCTACACTGCACCCTGCTTTCAGCAGTGTGTAGAGTACATACATAACATGCCCCTCTAGCACACGTATAAGCAGCAGTGTAGATTGTGAGGCACAGCTTAGGTGGGTACAATAAGGCCACACCTGAACCCTTTGAGTATGTATCCAACTCACTCAAGCAGTGCCTCCTCCTGTCTATAATGCTATTTTTAGCAGGGTAGTGACCCACTGTTTCCCCATTGCTGGAGCCTTTCCTTGTCACAATGAAAGACTCCAGCAGAGGGGAAAGATTCTGGCAGTTCCCCACTGCAAAACCTTTCCCCACTGCTTCCCCCCGCCAAAGCCTTTCACTGACACATCTAGCTACACATCGCAATGTGGATGGAGCCTGTCTTTCACTGCCGCAGGTAGTTATACATATCCTACATGCTGCTGCCAATGGCGTGCAGTGAAGACGCAGTCAAAGTTGGTTGCGCATACGATCAGAGGACTACAGGTTACGGCCTGTACACTCAGAAATGGGGAAAATACAGATCATTAAACCCAACCTGAAAGCCTGTGTTTCCTTTTGGGAGGGCAAACTGTTATACTTGTATGTTTGAAGATACCAAGGACAAATAAGAATTCAAGGACAAAAGTAAGATACCCTACCAAACAAAATGGCACACAACTAACCTTCAGCATTTGTCTCATCTTAAAAGCTTGTGTCTCATCTTGAATTCAGAATATGAATATTTGAAAAATCAAATTTAATGTAAATAGATCTATGTTAGATAAACAGACTACAGACTGTCCCAACATTTACCTGCAATGGGTGGACCAACTATCATAGGTACTGACATGAGTCCTAACAGGAATCCTATGGCCTGGGAGACATCCTGTGCACCGACTAGCTCAAAGGCAATAGGAGCCATGATACAAATGAAGCAGCCATCGAATAGACCCATAAAGAGGCAGACAGCAATGAGACTTCCCAAGGCATGGCACAGTGGAATCATCATGGACATCAGGCCAATTAAGAAGAATGAGATGACCTAGACAATGTCAAAAAAATAAAAAAAACACATCAAATCAATGAGAGTTCTAAAATAGGGAGTAAATGCAGGCTTCATAACAACTGTGAGGAATTAAATTGGCTGCCAATATTAATTGTATTAAAAAAACCCCAAAAAACAAAAAGAACCACAAAAAAGTTCCTTGTTTCCCACCAAAGTTTCTACTACTTACTCCAGAGTAATGATGGATGACTCAGTTTCCATGTACATCAACATTTTTAAAAAAATTGCAGCTGCTGGGAACTATCCAGCTCCTCCTCCCCATCCTGGCAGTGTCTCCTATTTGCGAGCTACTAGGGTCCAGCAGCCCTAGTAGCAGCTAGCAGCTCTGCAACCCATTTGTGTGGAGGGAAAAGGAAATTCTGCATAGAACATTAATTTCTGTGCAAATTCTGCATTGCGCAGTAGTGCAGAATTCCACCAGGAGTATAAACCGCTTTCAGGCATTGTAACATGATGTAGCATATTCAGGGAATCGGGGTGTTGTGAATTATCTGCAGAGATCAGTACTTTTCATAGGAATGCCAGAACAGAGGAAAGCGTTTTTCATGGGGGAGGATTTCCCAAGTCCGTTATGTACCATTAAGAGGAAGTTACTCCCTTGTGCAGTAACGATGGTTCTTTGAGATGTGTGTCCCTATAGGTGCTCCACTGTAGGTGTATGTGTGCCCCTGTACCCCGATCAGAGATTTTTGGTAGCAGTGTCCCATTGAGCCCGCGCATGTGCCCTCCCTCCCTTGTGGTCTGCCTTGAGGCTATTTAGCACTCCACGGGCGAACCCCCCACACACACACTTCCTTCTCTATCACAGAGCCCTATAGACAACTCCAAAGTAGAGGAGAGGAGGTTGAGTTGTGGAGCACCCATAGGAACACACATCTTGAAGAACCATCATTACTGCACAAGCTGAGTAACTTCCTCCTCTTCTTTGAGTAGTGTCCCTATGGGTGCTCCACTGTAGGTGACTCCCGAGCAGTACCCACCACTGGAGGCTGGGACTTCGGAGTGGAGTCTTTTACTACAGAGAGTACTGTGAAGTCGAAGATGGTGTGAGCGTCCAAATCTTCAGTGATCGCATAATGTTCTGCGAAAGTATGGGCAGAGGCCCAAGTCGTTGCTCTATCGATTGCTGAGATAGGGGTATCCCTACGGAATGTGATTGAGGTACAAACTGACCTTGAGGAGTGCATATGGACTCTGGACGGAAGAAAGCTGCGCCCTTGATAAGTGATTAATATAACCAGAGACCCATTTGGATGGTCTTTGAGCTGATATCACAGAGCTTTTGGATCTTTCTGTGGACAAAAGGAAACGTTTAAGGGATTTCCTGAATTCCTTAGTCCTGTCCAAGTAGAATGCTAATGTCCTTCTAATATCTAGCACATGCACAATTGTCTCCCAGTTGTCACAATGTGGTTTTGGGGAAAAAAAGGGAGACGGATCTGTTGATTCACATGGAAAGTGCAGAGAAAGTAGGGAGAAACTTGGGATATGGCCTTGGAGTTACTTTGTCTTTTTAAAAAAAAAGTCAGTGAACAACGGATGTGCCATCAGGGCCGCTATTTCTCCTATGTGCCTAGCTGAGGTGATGGCAATTAGTAATGCTGTCTTCATGGACAGATGTAAGAGAGAACAAGTTGCCCTGGACTCGGAGGGCAGTCTAGTCAAAGCCCTGAGCACTAGGTTAAAGTCCCAGACTGGAGTCGGTGGTGTCAGATGCGGGAAGAGATTCCCAATGCCCTTAAAGAATCTACGCATTAGTGGGTGAGCAACCACCAAGTGGGAAGCCAATTTCGCCGCGAGATGAACCTTAAGGAAGCTGAGTGAGAGTTTAAAATGTAGTGCAAAATCAGAGAGAGGAAAGATGAGGTTGGGTCTGTGTGTTTGACATGACACAAACTTGGAGTCATTTCCATTTTGTAGATAAGTATGTCAAGTGGTCAACTTTTGGTTGTGTTGCAACACATCTTTCAGCTTGTCAGAGCATTCTGCCTCTAAGCCTTGGAACTAAGAAGGAGCCAAGCCTGGAGGTGGAGGACCCATGAGTTGGGGTGAAGGGTCAGCCCATTGTTTTGAGAGAGTGGGTGAGGGATGGGCTGAAGAGAAACAGGAGGGCATACTGTCATCTGTGTCAGGTAAGGGAGCCAGACTAGTCATGGTCAAGAGGGGCAATCAGAATAACTCTCGCTTTGTCTCTGAATTTTCAACAGAATCTTGGATAGAGTAGGAAACTGGGAAGAGACATACAAGTGGGCCCTGTCCCATGGGAAGATGAGGGCAACTGCCAGTGAATGTTTCCAGAGGCGGGCCCTGGAGCAGTAACAAGGACCTTTCTTGTTCCGTTAAGTAATGAAGAGATCCATAGTCAGGGTTCTCCAAAGGGCGGATACATCTTGAAGCACCTCTGAATTCAGTACACACTCATTGTGGTGAGAAAACTGCAACTGAGACGGTCGGCTGTGACATTCTGTATCCCTGGTAGATAGACAGCTGAGATGAGCACATTGTGATGGGTGCATCAATTCCAAAGTTTAAGTGCTGTCTTGTAGAGGGAGGGAGATCGGGCAGCTCCTTGGTGGTTTATACAAAACATACAGGTCACATTAAGTCCGTCATGACCTTTGTGTGTTGTTTTTGATGAAAGGCAGAAAGTGTGCACAGGCACTCCTGACAGCCCTTAGCCCCAAAACAGTGATATGGAAGGTCATTTCTGTGGAAGGCCATTTCTTGAACCTTGTGGTTGTGTAGGTGATCTCCCCAGTGTATTAGGGAGACGTGTCCCAGGGTGGTGAATGTGGGTAGCGAGAGGAATGCTCTTGCTTATACTGCATCAAGGTTGATACTAAGGTTAGTATGCCGCTACAATGAAGAGAGCCTTGGAGAATACCCTGTGTGGAGCAGTCTGTACTGAAAATCATCCTGCCCCAAAGGTAAGCAGTAGGAAATCTCCTGTATGATGGTGGTATTGAGATACGGAAGCAGAAACCCTGTAGGTTCAGGGCTAGAAATAAATCTCCTTGCTTTAGAGCTGGTCCTAACTGCTGTAAAGTAGGGCAAGGTGACTTCTGAGAGGCATGACAGGTGTATAGATGGCAGCTGATGCTGTAAGGTATCACTGTTCAGACCCTCAAAAGTGCTTATAAGAGGCAGTTTGAGAGGTCACAAACTGGGGTGCAGACTGTTCCCACTTTTGAGCCCTGGGCCTCTTACGCTGTGGCTCATAACAGCACTGAGATGGTGGGTATTGAAAAGATTGTGATCTGTGGTGTGGTTCAGAGGTATATCTTCTCTTCTGTCCCACAGTGTAGATTCCTAAGGAGTGTAACGTGGTCCGAGAATCCTTCAGTATGTGGAGAGAAAATCTGTCTTCTCCGCAAACAGTTTGGCCCTTCAAACTGGAAGTCTGTAGCTCTTTGGGCAATCTAGAGAGGTGTAGCCCAAAAAACAAAAACAACACAACCTGCTTCAGTACCACTGTCATGGAGACTGGGCGGGCAGCTGTAACAGCTACATCCAGTGCTGTCTCTAGGCCCAATCTGGCTATTAACTGACCATCTCTAAGAATGGCCTGAATCTGTTCTTTTTGTGTTTCTGTTGGATCATATTAAAGAAGTTCTGTATTAAAATCACAAATGAGTTTGATTCCCCATAGTTTAAATTCCAGGGTATTACTAATTAAGAGGTCTCTTGGTTTTTGGTACTGTTTCTCTCCCTCTATGTGTGAAACTTGCAAGCTGCTAATTGTGTTAGTACATTCTAAGACAGAGTCTGCTCTCAAAGCAATTCTTTGTAACAATAACTACTCACACAGAGAGAGACTCAAAGCAATACTCTGTAACAACAGAAACAGCACCCAGAGACTCCCCGCCCTTTTGTTGTATTCATCTCGCTTTGTTAACAATTGTGATTAAAATAGAGATCTATGTGGATGGATGCTTGGTGTGGATAATAACTGAATGATCAGGGAGGTGCCAGCCTAAGAATTCAGTGTCCATCGGCTGAAGAAGGCGTCAAGTGGAAATAACCAGAGGACCCCCAGAGGGCAGACTGGAATCCACCCAACAGCCTCAAGGATGGGAGAACCAAAGAACAAGATAACATCTGGCAGCACGGAGCCGTCAGGAATGTGCTATCTGCTGATTGATTCAGCAACAGCATGATGAAGCAATTCCCATAGACTAGCATAGGAAGAAATGCCTATAAAAATGGACTCTAGAAAGTGAGAACTTTGGGGTCTGATTCTGCAAACCAACTTCCAGGAGCATCAGATGTGCATCTGACGAGGCCCTGCTCCCTCCTCATGTCCAGGCCACCTGGCCAGTGGCTTGGCATGAGCAACTCTAAGGCTGGTAACTATGATAACCTTGCAGAACGTGTGTGTGTGTGTTTGTATGAATGAATGTGTGAATAAATATGAGATTGAATGGAATGTTATAGCTATAACTAACTGCTTACTATGATTCTTTCTGTATTCACAATAAATGTGGTATTTTGCCTTTTCCCCTTTAATAAGATCCTGCTGGTTTTTATTTTATTGGTATAACATTTCCAGTAATGTTCCAGAAATACACTGGGTTGCCCATAATTAATAAAATTGTATTTGGCCATGTCAGTTTGATAATTTATGACTCTAAACAGTAATGTTGTCGACGAATATGCCATCTGGCCAACCCTGATCATATGGAGTTGACTTGGCATCATGTTGCTTGCTTCGTGCATTAACCACATCCACTATGATGGAGTTGGGTTGCACATGTTGAAAACAAAGTCTGCCTCTTTGGGTAGGGGTTTTTTTTGTTGTTTTTTTGTTTGTTTACACTCTGTTGCTGGATGGTGCGATGGAGGCTGATGTCTGCCAGATGACTTTGGTAAGATCTAGAATCGCCTCATTAATTGGGAGGACAATTCTAGATGAGAAGGTGGTGTGCAGAATTTCCACCAACTTGTGATGTGTATCTGCCACCTCCTGAGGAATCTGC